TGTGTGTGTGTGTGTGTGTGTGCGCGCGTGTGTGTGTGTGCGTGTGCGTGCGAGCGTGCGTGCGTGCCTGAGTGCGTATACATGTATGTACGTACATATGTATGCAGTATGTATATTATATACTTGCATTTTTACATCTATTTATACGTATAGCTGCGACATGTTCCCCTCTATGAATCGGGTTTACTGTAGTGGTGTGTGTATAGTATACACACACACACACACACCATGCACTCGTCGTGGTACCACAGCTAGGAGCTAGCGCGCGAAGGTGGCAGCAGCGATGGAGGATGGATGCGGCTGCTGCGGCGTTGCTTGGTAACGATTGGAAACAGCCGGCGCGGCGAGCGCAGAAAGATCGATATCATCTACAGTGTTAGATTGACACCGCTAGTCGTCGAGAATAATCTTTGGACTGACGAATAGGGACGCTTGGCGTCTGTCTATGGCGCACGGACTCGGCACACGCAAGCGCCCGCCGTACACTATCAATGTTTCATTAGCGGCCCATATAGCGTAGCCAACGATACGTGATTGGAAAGGGCTCCATAGCAGTCGATGTACACATCATAATGCATGTATTACTTTATATAAAAATTATATATATATATATAATGCCATTAATGGTGCCACACAAGCGAGCGAGCGGGGTCTGGGTTCGTACTCAGAAAGGAACAAAAGTGTCGCGCATGGCGACCTATATTTATCGCGAGCGGCGGCCGTGTGCCATAAATAGCCTGAATGGTTCGATAGAAACGTCGCTCGCTGCAGTTGCTGCTTCTGCTGCTTCTGGCGTTGGTGGTACGTGGAGTTTATCATGCCAGCGGTGATTCCTAGCAGAATAGCCATATATTCTCACCACCATAATTATCACAGGCACCCTAGCCCATTGCACTGTATGGGGATATAGGGTGATGGTTGTGGTCAGGGTTAGGGCCCGGGGGGTGTGTTCTCCGCATAGTGACATATATATATGCGCCGCATTATTGCCCCTCATTTTTCGTTTTCCTTGTCATCTTTTTGCCCCCAAAATTTTTTCCTAACCATCCTTTTGCCCACCAATTTTCCCTTGCCATCTTTCTGCCCCCCCCCCCCCACAAATTTTTCCCTTGCCATCTTTTTGCCTAGTCTCTTTGCCCATATAATTTTCCTTTTAATATCTGGAACGATCGGGGTCACTTGCGCATCTGCGGCTCATATCCTCGCTCATCTCTCGCGGCTAGAGTTTTCAACCCCGTTACACGGAAAAACCGCGGAAATGTTGCTGAATGGAACTTTGCCTAACAAAAATACGCGCCTCACCATTCATCCCGTGTTTAAGAAACCGGCACCCAGCCAAAATTGTTCTCAGCTTATCAAAAATAAAAGCCCAAAGTGAAGTTAATACGCGCGCGGACTTGGTTTGGCAACACTAATCGGGCTCATAACATTGCGGATTGATATCAATATCCAAAATGTTAAGCTGTTCGTAATAATATCGCTTACAAAACTAAGTATGATGAATTCACTCAATCATTCAGTCTTTATATTATTTCTTCGTTCTAATAGCACGCCGGTTTTTCACCATCGAGCGATCGAGCCCGAAAATGGCGAGTACCCTCCCCCCCCCCCAGGTCACGCCTAAGGGACGCGTCAATGTTAGCGCTAGGCGTTGAGCAACGATTGTGGTAAGACAATTATGGTTACAGTCAAAATGCGAGATAAGGTTGGGGATTATGAGGAGTTACGATTAAACTTGCGACCACGTTAAGAGTCACGGTTAGAGCCATCGTACTGGTCGAGCATATGGTCAGGTTCGAGGTTGTGGTTGTGGTGACCAATCATTGGATTGAGCTCAGGGGCAAGGAACGGGTAGGCCTAAATGTTATGGTTAGCGTTGGAATTATAGTTATACTACATGGACATGTTAACTAATATCTCAACTTTTTATAGCAACAATTAACCGATAGATTAGGTACTCACTGAATCTGCTAGGAGATCATATACGTTATACAAATAATCAAACTTGATCCCCGCATCTCCCGTAGTTTTGTAGTCCTTATCAGGGTCAATCTATAGAAAGGAAAATTCTTAATAAATTAATTGATTATTGCTAATATTTTATCAACGTCTTAATTATCTAATTAATTATGAATTAAATATAATATAATTTATGTAAAGTGATCTATCATCATCTTAAATTTCGAACTTCTTATCCATACAACACACCAAAATACACAATAACATACATATTTGTATGTGTTTGCGTTTGCGTGTGTGTGTGTGTGTGCGCGCGCCTGTGCGTGCGCGTTTATGTATGTGTGCATGCGAGTATATGCATGCGTGTACGTGATGCGTGTGTAGGTGAATGTGTGTGTAGGTGAATCTGTGTGTAGGCGTACATATGCGTTATAATTTATGATTTTGAGTTTAGCAATATTTTATCATACTATATGTACCCTGAAGGCTGCATTTATTTCGAGGAAGGATTCGAAAGTAGTTGCATAGAAATCTTGTACTGGCTTCCAGTATTTAGTTTCGTTGGCCTTTTCAATGTCAAGCCTGGAGTAATAAAATTAAAACAATATCAAATATTGCATATAAACACGAGTATATACAGGTTCTGTTCCAGAAAGAGTTAGACATAGACAATGACTACTACTGTAGCCAGTAGGGCCAGCCATGGGCATGGGCCGCGAGTAGAATCATAGCAAAGAAGAGGTAAACATCCACCGGGATGTTGAGCCAGAAAGTAGTTCCGAAAGCGAAAAAAGAAAGGGGAGAGGAAGGGGAAGGGGAATAGGAAGAGAAAGTGGTAGAGGTTGATAAAGAGGAAGAGGAGAGGAAAGGGGGAGGCTTGTCGTTTTCTGATAGGAGAATAATTGAGATATTTAGGCTATACTCAAAAGTAGTCTATCAGTCACATCGAAAAAATTACTCGACTGCTCGTCTATACATCAACAGCAATCTCTGCACCGCACGGCTGCTGGTGCGGAGCCACATGATCTTCGTATACTAGTATATTCATATTACCTACAGTTTTACGGTTAATTAAACACCTTGCTTAAATGCAATATGTATTAGCGTCATGCGTCACAGGTTGAAATTTATAGGATATGCACAAAGACCCCAATAAGGTCCTGCGCTTGTGATCAGTGTACAGTGATGTCCCAGGTAATAGAGTAAACCATTGAACGTCTTCCTCCTCGCGTCCTAATCGTGTGCGATAACAGCCGATTGACGATGACAAAGTCTACTATATATCAGTGTATTTGCTGTTCATTATAAATTATCTTAATTACAGTAATAGATATACAGGCACTGCACATTTCGTACTACTCCGGCGTTACTGTTCGTATATAATATAACTAGCATGAAACGCCTGCGTGCACGGAGCAGGGTAACTACATATCACTGATCTCTTCCAAGCTCTCCGCCAAACACGTAGCCGGTGGAAAAACAGCACGTTAATGGAAATCGAGCGGCGAAACCCAACTGCAATTACCTGAGATCAATCACGGACTTCTTGCGCACCGGATAAACAATCGGCTGGTACTGGTTCGCACCACTCCCTCCTCCTCCTCCACCTCCTGCTCCCCCTCCTCCTCGTCCGCCCGCCCTACTCGGGCTGATTGCCACCAAGTTCCCGGTCATTTCCGGTGAAAGTGGAGGCAGTAGTCTGGAGGATGTCGAGCTCGCACTTCCGTTGCGACTTTTTCCGATGTTCTTTATGAAAGATGTGAACCTGCGGCCGACGTTCATTTCCTAGAAAGGGGTGTAAGGTATAGGAATGAGTACAACGTCAGTTCGGATTTCCACCACAGAAGAAGAATACGGTGAGAAACAATTATGCATTAAGCAAATGTATAAAACAGGCGAGACGTTGAGATATCTGACGCTTAGTTATTACGCATCAAATGTATTGGAAATTAGATACATAGACAGTGCGTACATGTAATGATTAAATGAAAGCTATATGGTGCTGTAGCGACCCTAAGGGTAGCCACGACTGTATTTATTCACCGTAGAACAATTTGTCTGTTTCGAGATCGTTCTCCCCATCCCCAGGAATGGATCAACAAGCTGTTATTTACGAGTATTTGTGTTGTTGCTCGTAAGTTTGTCGCAGCTCATGTCTCTTTTGTAAGATACCACAGAAAAAGTAAACGTGAACACTGTTCACCTCTCTCTCTCTCTCTCTCTCTCTCTCTCTCTCGCCGCCTCATCTCTCTCTCTCTCTCTCTTCTCTCTCGCTCGCTCTCTACGCCTGTCTCGCGCGCCTCTCGGCTAGCTGTGCGCGCAATTAGCGGCAGTTGACACCCCGATCGTTGTCCGAGAGGGAGCTCTGACTGGCGGAGCGGCGCGCCACGTGTTTCGCAGTAAGGCTGGCCAGTCGTGCTCGGTGACGCGAGATGTCCGGGACGTTGCGCTAACCGCGTCACGCGTGCTGCAGGTGAGCGTTCGTCGCACGATCTGCCGCGAGCCTGCGGCAACTTTTATACAATCCATGGCGGCACGACGACGAGAGACGTGCGACTAGCGGGCTTCGCAAGGACCGCAGTAATCGAAGCACGCGGACGTTGCCCGGCATCGAGGAGAAACATG